ATTAAATTTAACCAACAATTAATTAACAATTTATAATATAAATAAAATTAAAAATCAACTAATTAATCAAAATTAACCTAATTAATTAATTAAACCTAAATCAAACTAATAATTAATTAACAAATTAACCTAATAATTAACAAAAAAATAACTATTTAACAAATTAATCAACAAATTAACAATTAAAACTATGCAAAATTATAAATCAACTAATTAAATTTAAAATTAACCTAACAATTATAAAAATAACTAACTTTTAAGGAACAAAAAAGAGAGAAAACTTACTTAATTCAAACTTAAAGAGAAGGAAAGTAAAAATGGAAAAATAGGGCTTTTAGGGAGAAAAGAGTTTAGAGTGGGTATGAATTGATGGAGAGTAAAGGAGTGCAGTTTTTGGTGGTTTTGGGTGGGGGAAGAGTCGACGGCTAGAGAGGAGAAGTCTGAAAGAAGAAGAAAATGAGAGAAGAAAAAGGGAAATGAGGGTTTAATTTGAAATTCGGACTAATAATGGACACGATCGTCCTTGGTCTATCACTATTTAGTAATGAACGTAAGTGTCCGTGGCTAATCCTTCATAAAATGAGTGGCTATTTAATTCTAGAAGGTCTGCCTTTTTTTTTTTACAACCGACGATGAAAATGTTTCTATCGCTATTAGGGACGAACGTTAAGTTTTCGTCGCTATTTTGTCACAAAATGGATGGCTTTTTTATTTCAAAAGGTCGTCCATTTTTTTAGAATTAGTGACAAATTTAGTACTTTAGCGATGGATATTCCGTCGCTAAAGCAAAACATCAAAAATAGCAACGGCATAGTAGTCCGTCATTGATTTCCGTTGCAATTTCGTCACTAACTTATCACTAAAGCACTTGAGATGATTTTAGCACCATAAATAGTGATGAAATATCACCTCTCACTAATAAATCATCGTCAAACTATCTCTATTCTATCGCTAAATCAAATAGACGTTATTTGGTCGCTATTTAGTGACGGATTGTAGTCCCAACGTGAATCAAACTAATTAATAATAAATTAACTAACAAAAAATAACAAATTAATAAAATTAATCAACAAATTAACAATTAATCAAATTTAGCCTAATTAATTAATTAAACCTAAATCAAATCAACCAATTAATCAAAATTAACCTAATTAATTAATTAAGCCTAAATCAAGCTAACAATTAATTAACAAATTAACCTAACAATTCACAAAATAATAAAAAAAATTTTAAAAAAATTCATCAAATTAATAATTAATCAAATTTAACCTAATTATTTAATTAAACCTAAATCAAATCAACTAATTAATCAAAATTAATCTAATTGATTAAATATGAATCAAACTAACAATTAATTAATAAATTAACTTAGCAATTAATAAAAAATAACAATTTAACAAATTAATCAACAAATTAACAATTAAAACTATACAAAATTATAAATCAACCAATTAAATTTAAAATTAACCTAACAATTATGCAAATAACTAATTTTTAAGGAACAAGAGAGAGAGAGAGAGAGAGAGAGAGAGAGAGAGAGAGAGAGAGAACTTACCTAATTTGGATTTGAAGAGACGGAGATGAAGGAAGAAAAAATGGGGGGTTTTTAGAACGAAAAGAGTTTGAAGTGGATGTGGATTGATGGAGAGTGGACGAGTGTAGTTTTTTGGTGGTTTTGGGTGGGGGAAGAGTCGATAACTAGAGAGGATAAGCTGAAAGAAGAAGAAAATGGGTAAAGAAAAAGAAAAAAAATGGGTTTAATCGGGGATTCGGACCAACGACGAATGCGATCCCGTCTCCTTTTAGCAATGGACATAAGTGTTTATCGCTAATCCTTCATAAAATTGACGGCTATTTAATTCTAGAAGGCCGCCTATTTTTTATAACCAACGATGGAAACGTTCCCGTTGTTGATTAGTCATTTATTTAGGGATGAAAATTAAGTTTTCGTCGCTATTCCATCGTCAAATGGGCAGACTTTTTTTTCTCTTAAAAGACCACCCATTTTTTAATATTTAGCGATGGATTTAATACTTTAGCAACGGATATTCCATCGCTAAAGCAAAATATCAAAAATAGCAATGGAATAGTAACCAATTGCTAATTTTTATAGCAATTTTATCGCTATCCTATCTCTAAAACACCCAAAAAGATTTTGGCATCACAAGTAGCGATGGAATATCATCCGTTGCTCGATAAACCTTCGTCAAACCATCTCTATGTCGCTGCTAAATCAAATAGAGGCTATTCGGTTACTATTTGCTTGTAATTAACGATAGATTATAGTCCGTCGTTAAATCCCTCGTTATTTTCTAGTTTTCTTATAATGGAAAAAAAATACTAATCACTCAACATGTCAAAATTTTATAAAAAAAAAAAAAAAATTGAATCCTTAACTTTCATGATCTTACCAGTAACTTTTAGGTACATAAAAAAAAATTCCCAACAAAATTGATCTTATAGCTTCCTATAAAGAAAAAGGTACATTTCAAAAAAAATGTTTAGATTATCTAAATTACAAAATTTATCCACTTTAACATTCATATGCAAAATAGTGAAGAAATATAATCATAAAATCAATATATCTTTATTAGGATCTTTAATGAATATTTACTAATAAAACGACCTAGAACCTAGTGTTTTTAGGATATACGTACGTTAAGCATTATATAATTTTTTTTTATTATATGAAAAAATATTTGAATTCAAAACCTATTAAGAGAAGGAGGGATACTAAAACTTGTCGAGCTACTATTTATTGGCTAGACTCATTTGTTACTCTCATTTTTTGTTGGATTGAGTTTTTTTTTTTTAAAAAAAAAAAACTAATATTCTAATAAAACCAAAGATATGAAAAGAATTTTTTAAGTTATTTAGAATAGAATTAATATTGTTAGTAACAAAAACATAAAAATTCATTGAATAATTATAGATGGAAATGATTAATTGCAATCGTCAATAGATTTGCTAAATTGCATTGTATGTTAGTAGATCTTGCTTGACATATGATGACAAGAACATTTATCAATCAAGTATTAAATTTGATATCATTCCAAATTATTTTTTATTTTTTTCTTTTTTATATTTGAAAAATAAAATAAAAACATATTTTAAAATTTTTAAAAACTCTAGGATTTTTTTTTAAAAAAAAAACAGATTGGATTTTTTTTTTTTTTTCATACGAGTGCAAAACATCAACTCAAAATACTAAGAATTCAATTTTTTTTTCTTTTTTTAAGAAAAATGATAGTTGAAAATTATTGGATTGACTAAATTTAAAAAATTTTAAAATTTATGGATTTCAAAAATCAATTATTTCAAATGAATTAAAATTCAAAAAAATTTGATCTAATTAGATTTTTTAAAAAAACACAAGCATCTATAATTTGTTGCAAAAGTGGGCAAAGCGAGACTGACCTCAAAAGAAGGACATAGGGACAGAATCTGTTTAATACATTTGGAGAAAGACATCTCCATATGTTCGTTGAAACAAAAGAAGAAATTAAGAATGATTTTGTTCTGTTTTGCGTTAAGGTTAGTCAATTGGACGCATGTATAGCATATAGGTCTCAGTTTGAAGCACACGGGTCAATGCGGCACTCAATCAGCTTTTGCGTCAGGTTTTAATATATTTATTTATTATTATTTGAGAAACAAGGGTTCGGCATATTGACGTTATTATTTCCTACTTTATTATTTCATACTTTATGAAAATATATTGTAATAATATAGTAATTATTTTTCCATTATTAGACCATATAATTGCCTTTGTTGCTAGGACCCCTTTTTCCTTTATTGTTAGGATATTTACTTTGTAAATCTATATATATATTTGTATTGTAAGTAATACCAAATAAGAAAATATTACTACATTCTATAATTTCTTTTTGGTATCGAGTAAGATTTATAGCTTATATATATCTTCTTCTTTTTTAATAGTAATTCACTTTACTCAAAATCATGTCAATTGATTCAAGCAAATGGTGATCGAACCGATTTGGTGCCCATTGCTAATATGTCAAGTATCGCAATTAATACCAAATCTTCATTCTACTTGCACTCTTTGGATTATCCAAGATTAATATTTGTTACTCAACCTTTAGGTGAGAATGTTGATAATTATTTCACTTGAAGAAGAAACTTCCTCAATGCCCTACTATCTAAAAACAAAGCTAGATTTGTGGATGGATCAACACCCAAACCCAAAGTCAATTCCGAGGATCTTCAAACTTGGATTCAATGTAACGTGGTGGTTAAGTCATGGCTTTTAAACTTGATTTCCAAGGAGTTACAATCGAGAACTACCTACGTCATCATTGCAAGTGAAATTTGATTTGATTTTAAAAAAGGTTTACCTGTGGAATTGCTCCCCGAGTGTATGAACTAAAATGGTCAATTGCTTTGTTACAATAAGAAAGAGCGATTATCTCTTTATGCTATGGTAAGTTAAAAGGAGTATGGAGTGAATTACGGAATCTTAGGCCAATTTCGGCTTACACATGTGGAGCCGCATGGAAAATGGAGCAGATACATGAAGAAAAGAAGGTTTATGATTTTTTAATGGGGTTAAATGATGCCTACATAATAGTCCGCTCATAAATACCGAGTTCCGAACCCTTACCAAGACTTGGAAAGGCTTATGTAGTAATGGCTCAAGATGAAAAATAAAGAAATTTAGCATACTCATGCACACCTATTATTGAAGCCACGACCCTACCGGCCAAACATCATAATTCAACATATGATCAACGCCATCTCCACTCCACCCACTGCAATAAAAATACTCACAACAAGGACACATGCTACGCCCTATATGGATACCCACTAGACTGGAGGAAGCTACGCCACCAAGGAATGCATTAGAGACGTACATCCGGCCACTCTTGACACTTTGCTTCCGATGGCCAACAAAATATATTAGAAAGTGCAAATAATGATATATCATATTCCTCACATTTGCAAATGGGCCATCAAATGCCATTATGGTTTGCTCGCTTCATTCAAGTTGTTGGGTCAACCAAGCTACTCATGAGCCTATTAGCACACCTCCAGTAAGCCATATGTTTTCCAAAGCTTAGTTGGCGAGTCCAGCTTTTGCAACTCTTGCGGACCAACTCCAAGCAACTATATCTCTTGTTGCACTCTCCATATGAGTCTTTAGCTAGCCTATCCATTAATATGGCCTCACCCAATCCTCCCGGCAAGCCAAAATCATGGATTATTGACACAAGTGCAACAATCCATATAGCTTACAATATTGATTCTACGATACATGTTCGGTTAAATCCTATGATTCCTCAAGTGCAAATTACTAATGGAGATTGCATGCCAATTAAAGCTTTGGATCGAGTAAATCTTAACCACAAATTAAGCCTTGATCGGGTTTTAGAGGTGTCTTAATTTTGCTTTAACTTACTCTATGTCGATAAATTAGCATTAGATCTCAATTATGTTTTAATTTTTGGATTTACTTTTTGTGTGATATAGGACTTACTCTCGAGAAAGTTGATTGAAGTGGGTAGAGTGTAAAATGGCTTATATTATTTGGAACAAACAAAGGTAGGAAAGGCAATTATGGAAAAAGGGCACACTTTAACATTTTTATGGCACCGACGTTCGGGTCATCTTCCAATGAGCCGCACCTCCTTGGTTTCTCGCTTTATCGATATCGAGCAATTTTTAAAATTTTGTTTTTGTGATGCTTGTTGTAAGGCCAAACAACTTGATTGCCTTTTCCAACTCACATAAATAAATCTATAAATAAATTTAACTTAGGACATTGTGATATTTGGGGTCCATACCACACTCTTTCTCATTCCGGGTTGTCTTATTTTTTTACTATTGTTGATGACCACGAGTCGCGCTACATGGGTTTTTCTTATGAAATAGAAATCAAAAACTAAGCACTACCTTTTATTACTTTTCAATTGGATACAAACCCAGCTCAATCTTTAAGTCAAGATCTTTTGCACTAATAATGGTCTTGAATTCAATCATTCGAATTAAGAATTATCATTTTGAGCATGGTACGGATAAACATACAAGTTGCATAAATACTCCATAACAAAATGGTGTGGTAGAACGAAAGCATAGATATATTTTGAAAATAGCTAGAGCTTTACATTTCGGACACATTTACTGGTCGAGTTTTGGGAAGAATTCATTTTGACTCGCTATTTATTCAATTAATCGCATGCCACTCTCCGTTCTTTAGAAAAAGTCTACTTATAAGTTATTATTTTATAAACCATCCAATTATGATCATCTATGGATTTTTGGGTGTTTTTGTTATGGATATGTTCAAAATAAATCTCATGATAAATTGGCCCCACGAAGCAAACCTAGCATTTTTGTAAGATACCCATATGGTTAGAACGGTTATCGAATTTATAACTTGGATAGCCATACCATTTATTCCTCTCGTGATGTTCAATTTTTTAAGACATTTTTTCTTTTTTCACTATGGCAACACCCCGTTAGTACTCCAATAGAATACCCTTCATACTTATTTGGTCAAAATGGCATTCGTAGTCCAACATCATTCCATCCCAACACCTTTGATCCACACCCTCGACTTCGCTTCATTCTATCCCTCGCCATTCTTTCTTTAAGGCAACCAGCCCATCCCACACATCCTATCTCTTTCTTTCCTACTCGCTTAGCCCGACTCGTATAACCTCTCTTTTTCAATCCCATCGACCTAGTCCCGCATCTATCCGATTTTCTACGGATTAGGCCTTTACACACCACAACCATTGATTTCACTACCATTAGGCCCTTAACTACCATGAATCAGCCTCCTCTGCAGCGAGCATCCTACGCCTTTGGTTTTAAATTCTCCAATTAACCCAAATGTGGGCCTTTCACAAATTGGTCGGCAAGGTTTTGGACGAGCATGTTTCATCCTCCACTCAGCCTACTCACATGAGATAATTATCTTAGCAACTCTTTAGGTTTCAATACACATTTTCACCTTCCCTACTACCTCCCTCATCTTTGCACTCTCCTTTTCACTTAGTTAACTCAACGATACATCCTTTATCTTATCAAATTTTGTACTTCAAATTTTCTAACACTTATAATGCTTTTCTAGTGGCCATCTCTTTCATAAATGAGCCTACATCTTTTTCTCAAGTAGCTCAACATCTTTAATAGCGGGATGCAATGGCTCAAGAAATTCGCTTTAGAGGCAATCACACTTGGACACTTATGCCTTTTCCATCGAGAAAATATACCATTGATTTTAAATAGGTCTATAAGGTTAAATTTCATCCCGAAGGCTCGATGGAAAGATACAAGGCTCACCTTGTAGCCAAAGGATATACCGTATCGAAGGAGTTAATTTTTATGAAACTTTTGCACCGGTAGCTAAATTAGTTACTATTTGATGTCTCCTTGCCATTGCCGATGTATGGAATTAGAAACTTCACCAATTAACATTACCTTCCTTCATGGTGATCTTAAAGAAGAAGTCTACATAAAGATCCCATAGGTTTTACTAGAAAGGAGGAGCATCGGATCTGTCATCTTCAAAAGTCCCTTATAGACTTTGACAAACTTCGTGTAACTAATGTCACAAATTCACTCAATCCTTGCTTATTGTGGCCTTTAATAAGTCACCTTTCGATCATTCCTTATTCCTCTCTTCTTAACATAATTCCTTTATTATTTTTCTCGTTTATGTTGATGACATAATTGCCATGAGGACTAACACTTCTAAAATTTCTTGGCTCAAGTAATATCCGGACACCACATTCCATATCAAAGATCTTAGTAAACTCAAATATTTCTTATGCCTTGAGGTTGCTTGCCATCCGACCGGCATTACATTAAGCCAACATAAGTATGTTCTTGACATCTTGATCGAATGTGGTCTTACTAGTTGCAAACCAGACTTCCTTAACCATGGAACAACAACATAAGCTTGATCTCGATTTCGAACCCCTTTGTGATAATCTTGGTACATATCGTTGTCTATTAAGACATTTACTCTATTTGACCATCACTCGGCTAAACATTAACTACGTTATTTATATTTTGAGTTGGTTCATGCACCGACTAAACCAAGCATATCTTGATGCTGCTATTTAGGTCATTTGATACCTCAAAGGTGCTCCTAGACAAGGCTTTTTTTCCCTCTAATAAGCACCTTATCTCTAATAGGTTATTGTGATGCCGATTGGGCTGGTTGCCTAGTTACTCATCAATCTACCATTGGCTACATTGTATTTCTTGGCACTTCCTCGATATCTTGGCGTTTTAATAAATAGTCCGTTGTCTCTCGCTCCACAACTCGAAATCGAATATCACGCCATGGCCACCACTACTAGTAAGATAGTCTAGCTTGTTTGTTTTTTTCCGACTTGTGTGTTCCTCATCCTCATCCGGTTTTATTATTTAGTGACAACAAAGATACTTTTCATATTATCGCTAATCTAGTGTTTCATGCACGCACCAAACACATAAAGGTTGATTGCCACTTCATTCGCTAATGCATCCAATCGAACTACTCTCCTCTCGACTTATTGCTTCTTAGGATCAATTCGCCAATATTTTTACCAAAAAACTTTGTCGAGATCACTTTCTAGATTTATTAAACAAGTTGGACATTTTCAATCTTCATGCTCCAATTTGGGTTGGAGTATTGAAGTTATTATTTCCTACTTTATTATTTCATACTTTAGGAAAATATATTGTAAATACCAATAGATGAAAAGGGCTACATGTATCTTGCACATATCGCTTGGTCAAAAGATCAAGCCTTTTGAATGAGGATTTTCCTTTCTGTTTTTGAGAAAAAAAAAAAAAAAAAACAATGCATTTACCTTTCATGCAAACATAATCTCAAGATACGTACTTCTGTTTTTGAGCAGTTGGAATGATTAGAAGTTAGTTGTTGTAAAAAATTCAGGGGAATATATATATATTTGCAATTTTAATTTCTCAATTTATAATATCGCATGGAATGATGTCAGATAACGTAGCATCATTTAAGAATTCACCATAAGTCAGACCAACGTTCCCACAGTATATTTGTTTCCTTTACACAGCTTGGTGACCAGTTACCTTGAACTATTATTGAAGTCATTTAATTCTAAAAAAAAAATTAATAATAAGAATATGAACTCATTAATATTTGTAATTGGAAACAGAATAAAATATGGTTGCGGGTAGAAATGAAAATATGGGTAAAGGATGGTGAAATCTTCTCTCTTGTTTGAATTTTCTACTTATACTTGCTTTCTTTCTAACTTTAAAGATTTTGTTTCTAATGAGCTGAGGAGAATTTTTATTTTCGGATATTATTCTTTAAAAAAAAATACAGAGAATTTATGATATTCTTTTTCAGTCATTCTCAATTTCCCCAAAAAGAAAAATTTTCTTTTCCCTTACTTTTGTCTAAATCTTCAATATGCTGTAAAAATCCCCTCGTGGCCACTATACTAAATTCATTTCTATTTCTCCACTGCATTCGGATTCATTGAACTTTGAAAAGGAAAGAAATTCAACGTATATGTGTAAAATCAGTTTTATTCAAGTGGACCAAAAATCTTTAATCCACGTTCCCCCATTTAATGCTTTGCGTATATATGTACAAATCCATGACGAAATGGTAAAAGCGTAGCTTAGCCACCCATTTTATTAAGAAAAAGCAAAAGTAGACATGGACAGAGCAAAATTGGAATGATGTGTCCATCTTGCGGTTAATGTCACAGTTTCCGAATATTATGCGTTTGTTTGTTTATAGATTTTGCTGCTGTATAATTTTTTTTACTGTATATTTTGTTAAAATTTCAATTCTTCATTCTTATTTAGAGATAAAGATTTTTTTTTTTTTTTTGTTGCTGCTTTGTGAAAAACTTTTTTAAAACAAAAATATATATCTATTTACTATTAATATTTGTGGTTGGTGAAGAGGACGTTTCATCTTTTTCTAATATCTATATCGGCTTTGGTTAAATTATATGACACGTGTTGTAAGTGTATATGTTAATTGATAAAATTATTACATTAAAAATAAAAATACATTATACATGTATAAAAATAAAGAATAAAGAAAATTTGGATTAAAAAATCCGAATTAACTGAAACTTATCATAATTTTTTTTAAAAAAAGTGAGAATTTACTTACAAATAATTTTTAAACTATTATACATGAAAAAAAAGACAGAAAAGAAATTGAAAGGATAGAATGTGATTAAAAAAAAAGAACGAAAATAACAAATCCATACTGATTCTTTAAAAAAAAGGACAGAAAAGAAATTACAAGGACAGAATGTGATTAAAAAAAAAAGGACGAAAATAACAAATCCATATTTATTCTTTAAAAAAAAAAAAAAACTCAAATTTGTTCTTATCTTTTCAGCGAAACCAAGCTATCTCAAACACACAACTCAATAAAAAGGCCAAATTTCTCATTCATAATTCAATTGATAGTCAATGGGCAGATTCTTGACACATATCTCATGATTTAACAGAATTGAACTAAAAAATAAAAATTTTAATAGAACATGTGATAGAAAAGTACTAGTTGGATACCCACATTATGTTACGATCGGATAACCGTTGTATGCGTAAGGTCAACGATTCGTATAGTGTAATATGCTTAAAAATCTTATTTCTCATAATTAATGTAAATTAAATTTATTTGCTAAGCAAAATCGTTTTATTTATATATGTCAATTAACAAAATAATCAACAATATTAGTATAAAAAGTTGTATTTGAATAATTAAAATGTTCTTTAAAAACATTATTTCAATTATTTTATTTAAAAATATTGATTTTAGAACATAAAAAAAATAAATAACAAATAATTGGTGTTATGTATGCGGATACATAATTAATTTCTAACAAAACTAATTATATATATTTCAATTATTTTATTTAAAAAATATTTATTTTAGAATATAAAAAAGAATAAATAACAAATAATTAGTATTATGTATGTAGATACATAATTAATTTTCAACAAAACTAATTTATTATTATTATTATATATCATACATAGTGCATTCAAAGTATATAGTATAAATAATTATAAAAAAATTCAAGTTGTATAGAATATATTAAAGTCAATAAATTGAAATAAAAACTACTACAAAATTTTTTTCCATAAATTTTACTTCTTAATTTATTATGAAAGAGATTCTTGAATTGTAAATTAAATTATAAATTAGTTCTTCTCGTTTTGCAAAAAGGAATGAATTAATTCTTTTGGTTTCAAAAATAAATTTTTTAATTTTTTAATTAGTATCGACCATGAGTAATTTATTTTTTATTTTAAAAGTAATTTTTTTGATATTATTACATATTTTTTATTCTTTCTCTATTTCTTAAAACAAAAAATAAAAATATTGAAATAGCAAAAATGATAAAAAAAAATTATTTTTTGAACCGAAAGGACTAATGGTGTTATGTATGCAGATACATAATTAATTTTCAACAAAATTAATTACATATATATATGTATATTATGATCATAGTATAAACCAATATTTAAAAAACAAAAACCATCTAAATTATATGGAATATGCTAAATTCAATAAATTGAAATAAACACTACTACAAAATTAGTTCCCGTAAGTTGACTTCTTGATCTATGATAAAAGAGATTCTTGAATTACAAATTATATCATAAATTGGTTCATCTTGTTTAAGAAATGAATTAATTAATTCTTTTGGTTTAAAAAATAAATTTTTTAATTTTTTAAATCAGTGTTGACCATGAATAAATTATTTTTTTATTTTATAAAATGTCTTTTTTTATATTTTTACTTTTTTTATTCT